GAGCACCCACCAAAGAGAAAGCTCTTTCTCCCACAGGGTTGGGGGTTAGAGTGTCTGGGGGACAGTCACGCTCCCCCAGGGATGCTCTTGGGAGCTGTGGTTACACCATGTGTTAACCTCTGCACCCAGCAGAGCCTCACCAGCACCCTGTGTCCCCCAATACTCAACCACAGCCCCTCCAGAGCGTCACCAGCACCCTGCACCCCTCAACACCCCCCCACAGGACCCCCAGCACCCAACAGAGCCTCACCAGCACCCTGTGTCCCCAATACCCCACCACAGCCCTTCCAGAGCTTCATCAGCACCCTGCATCCAAACAACACCCCACCACAGGACCCCCCAGCACCCAACAGAGCCTCACGAGTACCCTGTGTCCCCCAACACCCCACCACAGCCCCCCTGGCACCCAGCAGAGCCTCACTGGGAGCCAGCTCTTGCCAAGAGAGCTGGGAATACTGGGAATAGCTGCCGTGTGGTGAAATCACAGTAAAGCCATGGCTGCCCTGGTGGGATGCCCTGCGGGGGGGAATGCCCTGGGATGGGGGGTAGTCCCAGCGATGGGGGGGGTCCCTGTGGCGGGGCAGGCACAGCCCGTTTCCCCTTCCCGGGTTCGGCGCTGCTGAGCACGGACTTGGGGCGAAGGATGGAGCAGGCCTCGGTCCCTCCCTGGTCCCTCCCGGTGCCTTCCCAGTCTCTCCCGGTGTCTCCCGGTGCCTCCTTGGTCCCTCTCGGTGCCTCCCTGGTCTCTCCCGGTGCCACCCGGTGCCTCCCTGGTCTCTCCCGGTGTCTCCCAGTGCCTCCCTGGTCTCTCCCAGTGCCTCCTCAGTCTCTCCCGGTGCCACCCGGTGCCTCCCTGGTCCCTCCCGGTGCCCCCCCCTCCCCGGTCCCTCCCGGTGCCCCCCGGTCCCTCCTCAGTCTCTCCCGGTGCCCCCCGGTGCCTCCCTGGTCCCTCCCGGTGCCTCCCTGGTCTCTCCCGGTGTCCCCCCGTCCCTCCCGGTGCCTCTCCGATGCCCTCAGGTGCCTCCCCGCTCCCCCCCGCTCCCTCCCGGTGCCTCCCCGCTCCCTCCCGGCCCGTTCCCGGCCGGTTCCCGGGCTCAGGGCTCCCTCTGGCGGCCCCGCCAGCCCCGGGGACGCTCCTCCCGTCGCCGCCGCCGCCGCCCCGGGCCGGGCCGGAGGAGGAGCAGCGGCTCGGCCCTTCCCAGCGCCCGGCTCCCGTCGGTGTCGCACCGGGGAACGGCTCCGGGGGGCTCCGGGGGGGGGTCTGCGCATCGCCCCCCGGTTGTAGCATCCAGCGGTAGGGGTGGGTGGCAGAGGCGGCCCGGAGCGGCGCCGGGGGGAGACCGGGCTCCCTGTGACCGCGGGGACCGACCCCCGGGGCCGGGGGCGAGTGGGGACACGGGTTGGGCCCGGCGGCAGGAGACGGGCTTCAGCCAAACCCGGAGCCCGGGTCACCCCCCCGAGGCACAGCCCGGGCGAGGGAGAAGCAGAGGGTGGTGGTCATCAAAGGGTCTGTGGGCTTTTCAGCCAAGGGCAAGGACCGGCCACCTCTGTGGCTACGGAGAGCCAGGGGGGCCGTGGCCAAGGCACACACCAGGTCCAGGTCCAGGTCCAGGTCCAGATCCTACCTGAGCAGGGCTCCACAGCTCCGGTGGCAGCGAGGACGATGGCTGGAGGGAGGAAGACCTGGAGCCCCCAACAGCAGAAGGACACAGAGCTGTTGGAGCGGGGCCAGAGGAGGCCCCGGATACCTGGGCAGGGCTCCGCAGCTTCAGTGGCAGCGAGGATGATGGCTGGAGGGAGGAAGATCTGGAGCCCCCAACATTATCTCCAACAGAGCTGTTGGAGCAAGGCCAGAGGAGGCCCCAGAGATGCTGGGAGGGCTGGAGCCCCCCTGGGAGGGGGTCTGAGAGTTGGGGGCTCAGCCTGGAGAAAAGAAGGCTCTGGGGAGACCTTGGAGCCCCTTCCAGTCCCTCAAGGAGGTTTATAAGAAAGATGGGGAGGGACTTTTTAGGAGGGCCTGTTGTGATAGGACAAGGAGTAATGGCTTTAAACTTTAAAAAAGGGAATCATATCATAGAATCATAGAATTGCCCAGGCCGGAAGGGACCTCCAAAGGCCATCTAGTCCCACCCCCCCGCAGTCAGCAGGGACACCCCCAACTAGACCAGGTTGCCCAGGGCCTCGTCGAGCCTCTCCTTGAATATCTCCAGGGATGGGGCCTCAACCACCTCCCTGGGCAACCTGTTCCAGTGCTCCACCACCCTCACAGTGAAGAACCCTCTCCTCATCTCCAGTCTAAATCTGTTCCCCTCCAGCTTGAAGCCATTGCCCCTCGTCCTGTCACTGCAGGCCTTTCTAAACAGGTTCTCCCCAGCCTTCCTGTAGGCTCCCTTCAGGTACTGGAAGGCTGCTATTAGGTCTCCCCGGAGCCTCCTCTTCTCCAGGCTGAACAACCCCAGCTCCCTCAGCCTGTCCTCGGAGCAGAGGTGCTCCATCCCCCTGATCATCCTTGTGGCCCTCCTCTGGACCCTCTCCATCAGGTCTATATCCTTCTTATATTGAGGGCTCCAGACCTGCACACAATACTCCAGGTGAGGTCTCACCAGAGCAGAGTAAAGTGACAGAATCCCCTCTCTGGACCTGAATCTGAAGATTCAGTCTATATACATAGGAAGAAACGTTTTACTCTGAGGGTGGTGAGACCCTGGCCCAGGTTGCGCGGAGAAGCTGTGGTTGCTCCAGGAGAAGCTGTGGTTGCCCCATCCCTGGAGACGTTCCAGGCCAGGTTGGACTTTGGCCGGAGGCTCTGAGCAACCTGATCTGGTTGAAGATGTCCCTGCCCAGGGCAGGGCGTTGGACTCCATGGCTTTTAAAGGTCCCTTCCCACCCAAACTGTGGTTCCAAGCAGCTCCTGTTGGGTGGCTGCTGCTCTGGGCTGCCCCGAAGCAGGTCCCTGGTGCTCCTCCCCAGTGTCACCCAGAGAGAGGAACAAAGAGCTTCCTCCCAGGTTGTTGCAAAACCTGTTCAACTGAAGCTGTTGATGTAAAGATAAGAAAATCAGGTCACTCTTGAGGTAGGCATTAGGGAGACAAACAGCCATGGGCTCTTCCCCGCGGTGGGGCTGGGGGGCACCAGGAGCAGCCCCCCAACTCCCCAGGGAGGAAACCTACTACTCCCTGTGTGGACCTTGCTCGGGCTGGGACCCCAAAATCTGCCGCCTTCTGACACTGAAAGCTTCACTCCCACAGGAAGAGAGGTCTGGCTGTCTCCAGCCGGGATGTCTGGGGACGTGGAAAAGTCCACACGCTCCCTCCCGACTCCAAACATTGTCTTAAAGCAATTTGCACATCTTAAAAATAAACTCCTTTATTGATAATATGAATGTTTAACATGTTTAATGCCGTCAGCTATAAAAATGATTAAAGACTTCAGCTTGGTACATTTGGCTTTACAAATTTACAAGTGTTAATGAATTAATACTAGTGTATACATTTTGCACTTCATTATACTCCATCCGCCAGTGACAAACTCTGCAACAACGTCTGCTTCTAACAAGTGGGAGTTAGAGAAGAAGAAATATTTAGTCTCTTCCACACAGAATCTACATCAACAGTTAAATACTAACTCTAAGTGTCTTACTGGATTAGTTGGATCCATTTTTAGTATCTTGTGCTTAGTTTTTTCTCTCAGAAGATCAGCTACTAGCAAAAATACATTCCTTTGCATACCCCTTCCCGGAGGGTATTTGAGAAGAGCAGTACTCAGTGCATTTCCTAATAGACTTCAGCATCGTCCATCTCTCTCTAGAGCTACTGATAAAGAAAGGGGATAATACCATTCAGATTAATGTAAAAGCAAAGAAACACGTTAAAGCAGTGTATACAAAAGCCTCACTTTTGAATCCGAAGCCACACGTGGGCCGAGACCCATCAGTTCTTACAATTACTCTCAGCAAGAGGAAAAAATCTGTTGTGGATACTTAAAAAAAGTAATAAATGTGCTTCCGAAAGAGTCACTGCCCATTTACCTCCAGGCTGCTCTGTCCCCTGCTGTGGGTACACAGCCCCTTCCACTGCATTAGGAACAGCAGCACGTGAAACCACAATTTAAAAGGCTACTCAAAGGTGTGTAAAACCCTCTTGTTTTACTCTAAATACCCGCCGGGGCTGCGCGGGGGAAAAGAGTGGGGTCACTGTGACCAGCAGCCCCCCTGAGCAGCACCAGAGCTGCCGTGTCCTGCAGGAGGAGACCCAAAGCCAGAGGGATGCCCCCAGGCCGTGTACAGCAGCGCGTCCTACAATAAAGGTGGATGCTTTTTGTCTAATTAAACTTTGAAGAACGACCCCGGAGAAGGCGCTGGCAGTGGGGAGCTGCTGCTGAGGGAGATGCTGAACAGGGACCGACACTCAGCAGCACGTCCAGCTTCTAAATTTAGGATCAGCTCAGCTACAAGCACCGAGATAAGGAGCTCGGGGCTGTGCTCAGCCTCTGCCCCGTGGGGTGTGTGTCCCGTGCTTCTCGCCGCCGTGACTCAGAGCCAGCCCCGCGGTGCCGCTGGCCCAGGGCAGCACACACAGCAGCCAGGGCCACCCCGCTCCTGGCAAGTGTTTCTCACAAGGAACCAGTCACTTCTCCCCTCTCGGCCCCAAATAATTCCTCACACACACAATTTGCCTCCAACTTAGACAATTCCTCGCTCTAAGTGATACTTTTTTTTAACCTCAATGAATTCCCGCTTTGTCTTCCGTATTAACGTCAAGAATAGGTAAAAATTTTCCTAATGCACTGTGTATTTAATATGTATGTGTGTGAAACCACTCACACATGTACACATACTCAATTCCACGTGGCAGCACTGATTTGGGTCCGTGTCTGCAGCCAAGGAAAGCCAGCAAGATCCCGTAGCCAACTGGGGAGTAAGAGCCAGGTCAGCTGGACACAACCCATACGCCAGGAACAACATTATTGCTTTTGTTTATAGTAGAAGATCCCATGTTACTGTTGCAAAAAAACCTGTATCATATGGAGTAGTGATTTTTTTTTTTTTTCAAGTAGTAGTGAGATCTTTGTCAAGTAATAGTCTCAGAAGTTCTACACACAACAGTAGAATGCTTGAAGAGCTTGAAAATTCAAGGTGACACACCAGAAACCAGAGCTCAGCCACTTAAAGCACATGGGCACCTCTGCAGAGGGTGCTACAGGAAAGCAAAAAGAACTACGGGGACAAGGAACACAAAGAAAAGTAATCTGGGTTGTGTTATGGCTACATTTTACCCCAAGAGTCTGTGTTTGTGTCCTCAAGTAGCTGGGAGCCATGTCTGAAGTGACAGTGCGTGGCTGGCTGCGTCACTCTGGTGGTCACCCTACAGAACCTGTAGCACATTTGCTAGCTTACTTTAGCAAATGGAAAGAATTAAAAAGAAAACCAGTGTTGGTTTCAACATTCATGACTCACAGCAGAATCTGTTTCTGCAGCTCGATGGTCCCCTCCTCACCTTCCTCAGAGAATCACATTCATATTGCAGGCTTAGTTCAGGCACTTTTTATAAAAATGTTCATCTGGAGTAAAAAGTCTGCAAAAGTTATTTCTGCATAATTTAAAAGTAGCATTTCAGTCCCATTAGAGTCTGATAGTTAGGTCCCACCACGTGATTATGGTTCTTGTTATCTCTAATGATCTGACTGTTGCCACGAGACATTTTGAGGCTACTGTATAGCTGTAGTTAAGGTTTCTTCATAAACAAAAATATTTTCCTACCTATTAGAAAAGAAAAAAAAAATATACTAAATGCTTTATACAGACAGAATCTGCTACTATGGAAATAAATAACATGGAGTGGAAAAAACAGTGTCTTAGCTTGAGGATGCTAAGCCCTGGAGTGTCCCCTTCCAGTGCCCTGGAGACTAGCTGCTGCTGGGCAGGAGGATCTCAATGTCTTTGCCGTTGGACACGACGGTGGTGGTGGAGCAGCTACTGGCCACGTCCATGGGGACCCCAGCCTGGGAGGAGGTTTTGGTGAGGGGGGCAGGAGCAGCGGGTGACTGAGCGAGGCCGGGCTTCTTTGGAGGAATGGGTGGAGGGTTCCCTCTTTCTGCTCTGGGAATGGTTGGTGACTTAATGCCAGGAGACAGCGGGCTTAGAGGACTGGAAACCTTGCCAGGGCTTGGAGAGTGACCCGATTCATTTTTGGGGCTCACGGCGTTTGCCAGATTTCGATAGTCCGTACCAAAGGGCGAGCTGTTAGGGGAGACGGGTTTAATAGGTCCCTGCTGGCTGGTAAATCTGGAGAGGACCTGAGTGACCGTGTTGCGGGCCAGCTGCTTGGCAGCAGAGTTATCTGCCAGGGTGGGAGAGAGGTCCCGTGACGGCGGGCTCTGCAGGCCGCTCGACTGGTGCTCCTGCTCAGCCTGAGACTGGAACTTGTGCCGAGCGGCGTGGAAACGCTGATTGATCCCCACCTGGTAGGACGACTGGTAACCAGGGCTGCTTGCTGAAGCCCCCACAAGGCGTTTGCTCAGGACGGGTGAGGAGCAGGGAGAAGGTGTCAGAGAGGAGGCGGCTGTGCCGCTGGGAGACAGGGAGACCCCACTGGAAGGGACCTGGGACATCAGGTGCACCGGTGACTCCGTTCTTACAGGAGAACTCCCATTCTCAACTGCGTTTTCTGGGGCTGCTCCAGCAGATTTCTCCTTCTGGCCATGGCTCTCTGCTGTGTTTGTCTGCAGCTGCTCGCTGCCCGTCTGCCCGTCGGTGTCACAGTGCCCGTTGGATTTCAGGTGGGAATGGGGAGGTGTCGTGGGGCTGGGAAACACGGGATGTAGGGCTTTGCCTGTGCCAGCAGGGCTTGCTCGCTCCGTCTGCAGACACTCTGTCTGGCAAGACACAGACTTCACTGGGGGACTCTCAGTTGTGACACCTCTGGACATCACCGAGGGGCTCGGCTGCGAGGGCTCAGTGTGACTGTGCTCCTGGCGAGAAGCCTCCAGCTCTTTCAGGGCTTTCTTCAGACATTCCACCTCTTCTTTGAGTGCTTTTGTACGGTTTTCTTCTCTGTTCAGCTTGGCTTTCAGCTGTTCTCTCTCAATGTCAAACTCCGAGAGCTGCTTTTCTACCTGGGCTTCCATCTGCAAGCCCCGCTTCCTCTTGGATGCCAGCTCCTCTTCCAGTTTACTCACCTTACTCTTCTCTTTTTCCAATTTCAAGCTCAATTCTGCTGTCTTCTGCCCCTCTTCAGCTGCTTTGGCAGTGGCTTTCTTGCACTCCACCACAAGCATGGAGGACAGCTGCTTGTGCCGTGCCCTTTCCTCCTCCAACTGGCTCGACAGCTTCTTCTGCTCTTTCTCAAACTTTTTCACTTGGGACTTTTCAAACTCCAGCTGGAAGATAAGCACAAAAAAGACTGTAAGGGAACCACAAAACCTCCCTGAAATAAATGAAGCATAATGCCCCAAAAGGGAACGGGGTTACTATATATCTTGGAAAAATTCCTCAGTAAAAGATGGCAATGGCTAAAAAAGAGGTTCGTGCTCCAATATATCTGGAAGACAGCCCTGTAAGACTCAAGCTGTGTGTCTCAGGAATTATTACCTCCTGGTAGTTATATCATGTATGAAATTCAATTGACCTTTATGGAGACCCACTCCCCGCCTGCCCTGCGCTGACTGAACAGCCGGAGCTTCCTTCCGCCTCATTTACTACTTTGTCGCTCTGCCTTTTAATGGCATTTAGACTTTAAAATGCTGATGTGTTATGTATGCTTAATAAAGTCTACAGTGCTCGAGTAACAGAAAACAGAGGAGCTTAAATATTTATTATCATCTCTGAATATCCCCCCTAGGAGATCTTTCATGACTTGCTCTGAATTTTGAGTACTAGAGAGCCCTATCACTTTTAAGCGCAGTCCAGTTCTTGAGAACTTCTTGGCTTTCAGGCTGAAGTAACATTTCATAGAATCATAGAATGGTCTAGGTTGGAAGAGACCCTTGGGATCATCGAGTCCAACCATCTCCCCTACTCTACAAAGTCCTCCCCTACACCATGTCCCTCAGCACTGCATCTAAACGGCCCTTAAACACAGCCAGGGATGGGGACTCCACCCCCTCCCTGGGCAGCCTGTTCCAATGCCCGACCACTCTTTGGGTGAAAAATTCCTTCCTAATGTTCAATCTAAACCTCCCCTGTTGGAGCTTGAAGCCGTTCCCTCTCGTTCTGTCACTAATTACCTGTGAGAAGAGACCAGCACCAACCTCTCTACAGTGTCCTTTCAAGTAGTTGTAGAGAGTGATGAGGTCTCCCCTCAGCCTCCTCTTCCTCACACTAAACAGTCCCAGCTCCCTCAGCCGCTCCTCATACGATTTGTTTTCCAGCCCCCTCACCAGCTTCGTTGCCCTCCTCTGCACTCGCTCCAGCACCTCGAGATCTCTCTTGGATTGAGGTGCCCAAAACTGGACACAACACTCGAGGTGTGGCCTCCCCAGTGCTGAGTACAGGGGCACAATCACCTCCCTACTTCTGCTGGTCACACTATTTTTGATACAAGCCAGAATGCCATTGGCTTTCTTGGCCACCTGGGCACACTGCCGGCTCATATTTCAAAGCATTGTGTTGTCTATTAATAGCTTTTAGCACCTCTCAGCCACCAAACCACCCTGAAAAGTTAAGGCTGTTTTTCATATTGTAGCGATAAAAGCCGGGAGCTTTTATCAGAGGGAGGGAGGTCCCTTTTCAACACGAAGGTGCAATTAGACATCGCTCCGGAGTTCACCACCCAGGAGCCCAGGGTTTCCGTGGGCTGGGTAATTAATTACCAGCTCCCAAGGCTGGGTACCTGCTGGGTGAGTCGCTCCCTCTCCTTCTCCAGCATGTAGGTGACATCGTCCCCCTCGGCCGTGTCCTGGGCGTGCCGCTGCCGCTCCTCCTCCAGGTCCAGAATCACCTGCCCAACAAACAGCCCTCACGTCAGCATCCAGGAACACCTACACCCAGGGAGGGACCAGCACCCTCCCACACCCTCCAAAGCCCGACGACACGGGAGAGCAGCCATCGCAGCCTCAGACGGACAAATTCAGCTCAAAAAAGCACATAGAAGCAGCTTTTGGTGAAGTTAGGATACTACGTTATCGTTGAGCCAGTTTGTGGAACATCAGGAAATCTCACACTGGATGTATCTTCAATTAGTATTGTGTGCAGGTCTGGAGCCCTCAATATAAGAAGGACATGGACCTGATGGAGAGGGTCCAGAGGAGGGCCACAAGGATGATCAGGGGGATGGAGCACCTCTGCTCCGAGGACAGGCTGAGGGAGCTGGGGTTGTTCAGCCTGGAGAAGAGGAGGCTCCGGGGAGACCTAATAGCAGCCTTCCAGTACCTGAAGGGAGCTACAGGAAGGCTGGGGAGAGCCTGTTTAGAAAGGCCTGCAGTGACAGGACGAGGGGCAATGGCTTCAAGCTGGAGGGGAACAGATTTAGACTGGAGATGAGGAGAGGGTTCTTCACTGTGAGGGTGGTGGAGCACTGGAACAGGTTGCCCAGGGAGGTGGTTGAGGCCCCTTCCCTGGAGATATTCAAGGAGAGGCTCGACGAGGCCCTGGGCAACCTGGTCTAGTTGGGGGTGTCCCTGCTGACTGCGGGGGGGTCGGACTAGATGGCCTTTGGAGGTCCCTTCCGACCTGGGCAATTCTATGATTCTATGATCTATGATTCTATGAATTCATTATTAAATATCTAAGTTGAATGTTTTTCCTCCAGACTGCAGAACAGCCTTGAGATGTTCACTTTATCTCTCCCTGGTCAGATGATGCCCTCTCCAGAATCTCCTGGCAGAACCATTAATACAAACCCCAGCAGGAGCAGAGACATCACCCCAGGGACCACGTGCCCAGGGACACGGGGCACCCACGGTCACAAGGGGATGCTCGTTAAGGGTTCAGCTGTAATTCCCATCCAGGCTTCTCCTCCAGTTTCTTCCAGGAGGTTTGAGGACTGCAGTGCAAAGTTTATTTTAAAGAACATGAATTTGTTCTTCCACTTAAGAACAAGATGAGCTCTTGAAATGAAACTGCTTGCCATAAGGACCCAGTTAAGGAGCTCCTTCAGCTTTAACACTGAATTACATGAATAATTGAAATTCTATTAACTCAACAAAAAAGCCAGAACACAAACTTCCCAAGAGACTCTGCTGTATCTCACCACCAAACCTCTACGCTCTCCCAACACGTGCTCACCGTGAATTTAGCAGCTCCTCTGTCTTCCTGAAATTTAAGCTTCCAAACGATGTTTAAATACAAAACCTTTTCACAGAGGAAGACAGGAAGGATAGGAGGAGGGGGAAAAAGATCTGACTGTGGTAGCATGATTTAGCCAGATCCTTGGCTGGAAGGTGGAACACGGCCGTGCTGTCACCCAGTGACTCCAAGGACAAACCCAAAGCTGGAGACCCCCCCCCAGCTGTCCCCCCAGCCCAGGGTCTGTGCTGTAGGAGCCAAACTGGGGGTTACTGGTGTCATATGAAGGTTTCTGCAATGGAAACGCTTTGGATTGTCCACAGATCAAAAGGAACTCGCTCTACCTTATCCCCACCAAAACAGAAATAAACTTTAACCCCAGTGCTGATGAGCAATGAGACAGAGGGTTCAACTTTGAACCTGCTGATTAGGAGCAGAACGTAACTGCTTGTACTTGAGATCTTTGTATGGGATTTAGCAAATTTTAATCAAAGCAAGAATCACATACCTGAAAAAAATACAGGATGGTCTGGGCCCAATGCCCAACAGGCACTAGCCAGAAGCACACCTACATCTGACATGGTGAAAGACACTTCTTAGACACCAGTGTCACAGCATCACCTCTCAGCCTGCCACTGATGCAAGCAAAACCAAACATCCCAGCCAGTTTTTAAGATGGAAAAGAAGCATGTGAAGAGGTTAAGACCCAGTCTGCAATGCACGTGACTGCAGGGATGCTCCAGAGAGCTCCTCCCAGCTGGAGATCCCAGCCAGCTACTCTTGGGCAATTATTCTCTGCCCCAGCTACATACCAGGGACAAATAATTTAGTCATTTTGACTTGTTTAAATTTACTGCAGGACAAACCAAATATGTAAACATATCTTTTTTAAAAAAGCTAACTAGATAGATAAAGAGAATATGTTACAGCAAGACTCCAAGAAGCAAGACTCTTGCTCTCAGACTTGGTGAGGCTTTGTGCTCCTCGAGTGACCTGGGGTTTGCCAGAGGAGCAAACCTCTGGGGAAGGACAGTCTGACACCGGGACTGAGCCCCTAATTGGTGTTGGTATCCATTAAAGCTATAGCATGAAAGTAAGTTTTGGCCATACCATACTTTCTTAGGAAAGCACATGGAGGAGCACACACTCCCACAAGTCCCTGGTACCAGCTCTTCGATGCTCACTGAGAACAAGTCACGAGCAGAAGTGTGACACGTCTGCTGAGAATTCAATCTGCCAGAAATCTGTTCTGACATTTTGGTAAGCACTCTGCCTCCCGGCTGTGAAGAAGCCAGTTCCTTTTTTGCGTGCCCTAACAACATCATCTTGCATGTATTTCAAATTTTGGAATGACAATTAATAAACTTACCAGCTGCATCGCATTGAGTGAGAAGTTTGAAAAAGGCGCAAGTCCTTTCAGTTACCAAAACTCAAGGCATTTAAGTGTTTTTGCTGAAGTTAAAGAATTATCAAAATGCAGCTGTTAACTTCTGCACATCTTCCATGAAGCAAAACCTACCTTTCTGTGTCTGCTCTCCGCAGCAGCTAGTTGGGATAACATTCTTTCTTGCATATTCTTGCAATGTTTCATCACCACTTTCAAAATAGACAAGGGATTGGAGCATACTGGTTGCTTTTCACCGTGATTTCCCTCTTTCAGGGTCTCAAAATCTCTCTGCAAAGCCATCAATGGATCGCTGATGTTGTACTTCCCATAGCGCTCCTCGATGAACGTATCCCTGTGCTGGGCCTGCAACACAACAACAAATCTGCATTTCAATATACTTAAAATAGAAAATCAGTTGAAGAAGAAAGTCATTTGTAGTTCATATTCCTCTTCCCCAGTTTATCACTTAGAGATAAAGCAATTTTAACACAGTCTGATTCATATCCTGTTATCTGCTATAAGAATGAGAGTATTCAGAGAGGAAAACACTCAAGTGTGTCATATTAAAGGTCCCCTGTTACCAGACAAAAGGGACAGTAATTCACACCACAAACGGGCCAAGTGCTCTACCTGCTCAGCAGCACCTCTGGGACCTCCAAAGCCCATTTGGCTCCTGCCACTTCTGATCAGGCCAACGAGAAGGGGACAAACACCATGTTTTCCACGTACAAGGCAGCTGGATGTCCCCCCCCTACTAGAAACCATCCGCTCCCCAGTAAGACACTTGAGTCTTGAAAAGATTTGCAAAACCCACTTGTATTTCCACAGCTGGAACACACACAGCATCTGCTCACAGGCAGCCTGAAAAGTGTGTGTGTGTGTTATATGAAGCATGTGCTCCATTAATTTCTCAAACTCCCCCCCAGCTGAACAATGTCTTTTAATCATAGAATCATAGAATTGTCTAGGTTGGAAGAGACCCTTGGGATCATCGAGTCCAACCATCTCCCCTACTCTACAAAGTCCTCCCCTACACCATGTCCCTCAGCACTGCATCTAAACGGCCCTTAAACACAGCCAGGGATGGGGACTCCACCCCCTCCCTGGGCAGCCTGTTCCAATGCCCGACCACTCTTTCGGTGAAAAATTCCTTCCTAATGTTCAGTCTAAACCTCCCCTGTTGGAGCTTGAAGCCGTTCCCTCTCGTTCTGTCACTAATTACCTGTGAGAAGAGACCAGCACCAACCTCTCTACAGTGTCCTTTCACGTAGTTGTAGAGAGTGATGAGGTCTCCCCTCAGCCTCCTCTTCCTCACACTAAACAGTCCCAACTCCCTCAGCCGCTCCTCATACGATTTGTTTTCCAAAATGAAGTGGCCCCAAGCAAACTAGAAACAAAGCAAAGTCTTACTTAAACCCCAATATCTCCCCAGTACAGCCCAGTCTGCTGACATCCTCATACCACAGCTACCTGCCAGCTACGGCCGTGACTTACATTCCCCAACTGTGCGGGAGGAGAGAAGGCGAGTACCAAAACTCCTGCTTAACTCAGGATTTAATCATTGACTGTCCCGGCGGTGGCAGAGCAGTGCTGTGGTTCTGTGTCACCATCAAAGAATTTCATGTTGAGCAATTAAGAGTTTTACTCTTGCAATAGCCTATAAATCCGCAAACTGTTAATAAAAGTCTTAATGTGCTCATCCAGACTAAACAAAGTTTAGTTTCTCAAGAAGCAAGACAGGAATGATTAAGGTTTCTTCGGGTGACATGAAAGAATGAAGGAAACTCACACGTACACGGGCAGCGATCCCGGGCTGTCCCCCGTTCCTGGGGGGAAGGTCTCAGGATGCCTCTTACTGGGGAAAGACCAAATCTGACTAAAATGAAAAGACAACTTGGAAGGCAGTATGTACTGGGATGGTTGTGTCCTGATGTGCTGGGAACCTGCATGGAAGCTGGAAATGCTCCCCTGGAGCCCAGGGGAGACCCAGGGCAGCTACAGCCCCTGGGCACGGCTGGGACAGACCCGGGAACAGGACAGCAAACTGGAAACTGCACTTTATGGGTCAGGGCACACATAGATGGGACAAGAAAGCTTTGCTTTATTCAAATAGCTGATAAGATGTGCCGGCCCTGCCAGTATGTACTGGGATGGTTGTGTCCTGATGTGCTGGGAACCTGCATGGAAGCTGGAAATGCTCCCCTGGAGCCCAGGGGAGACCCAGGGCAGCTACAGCCCCTGGGCACGGCTGGGACAGACCCGGGAACAGGACAGCAAACTGGAAACTGCACTTTATGGGTCAGGGCACACATAGATGGGACAAGAAAGCTTTGCTTTACTCAAATAGTTGATGAGATGTGCTGGCCCTGCCTATGTTCTAAGATGCAACCATGTGATTAGCACAAAAAATTAATACAAGTCAATCTCTGCTCTCAAAGGGAGAAGTTCTGCATTACCTTGACAAGAGGCGTAAAAAAACGAAACTAAAATACTTTTATCTCCCTGTCTCCTCCATGACCAAACCCATGTTGGGTGCCACGATAATACTGGTTTGGGGTTGCATTTTAACCCTTGCAGTAAACAAATCCAGAGAAACACACTCACAAATACCCCTCCCTCTTTATCAGTAACACCCATCAGGAACAGTGGATGCCTTTGATCAGAGCTTAAGATATTGTTCTAACTTTACATAAAAGAAAAAAAAAAAGAGGAAGGAAAAGATCAGCCCTGGAAATGGGAGGGCAACCCTGGATAATGACCTGCCCCTGCTTTAATGAATCACAGGAAAAACCACAGGCTTTGCTTTTTTTTTTGCTTTTTTTTTTTTGGAGGGACAGAGACTCTTCAGTTATCCCAAAGAATTTATAAAAATGACTCAACCGAACCTCACTACAAGTGTGTAGGGAATTTCTAAGTGACTCAAGCATTAAAAAGTCTGTAAATACAAATGGGGACATTCATCCTGCTGCCCTGACAGCTCCTCCTGAGCTGGGAGAATCCCTTTGGAAGGGTCTGAGCAGTGCTTTAACCCTGTGAGCAAACAGGAGGCACGGCTGAAAAGTTTACTTCTGGGCAACTCCTTTCCACTAAAAGCTCAAAGCTCTGGGATTAAGGTGACACCCACTCCCTCTACCCTCTGGTTCCTCACCACAGTGAGGGTCTACCAAAAGCCTGGTCTCTCCCCGTGGCACGGGGCTCCAAACTCTGCTGAATTCAGTGGGGTGGTTTATTTCCTGCCTGCGAAAGAACAAGGAGTTCTTCCTTGCTACTTTGAGCAATTAAGTATTTTCCTGAGCTAGCATGACAAACAGATGAGACTATCATAACATTAATAGCTTTCTGAAGTCCAGTTATTCCTCTTTAATAGCCAGCAGAGCAGAAACATTTAATTAAAGTTGTCTAGACTAGGAAAAGACTCAAACAGGTCACCCTACACCCACCACATCTCATTTACCAGAACAAATCCAGCGCTTTGGCATTCGGGCCACCATCCACCTGGAAAATCAAAGATGGATTTTCAGGCTGCTGCCCATGACACCTCTGTGCTATACGGGTCCCAGTGTCACCAAAATAATGGGGACAGCTCTTCTAAAATGAAGTCACTGTGCCATAACCTAATACAGGCCATTTCATACGGGTCAGCCTACACAGGTATGGAACTGTCACATACACGAGTGGCTTCTCCTGTGGCTCGTGCTGCTCAGCTCAACAACTGCCACTAAGGCTGGAGGTCACGTACAAACATCCCCAACAGTTTTGATTTTGTCCCATCTCAACTGGAATTCAGTCTTTAGATACGGGTTTTGTTCAGCTTTCAAAAGAGAAGTGAGTTGGTGATGGATGAGAAATATTCTATTAATGAGCCTAAAAAATCAACGCAGATCTCAGATCCCAGCATCAACCTATTCAAACACATGAATCCACGGGAAATCAAGTTTCAATAATAAGGAAATAAGGTTACAAAAAAGCATTGTTAACTTAGGAGTGGAAAAATTTAATCTGTAAAACCAGAGATGACATACATACATACTTCCAACTGCAGCAATAGCTCTTTGAAATAAGACGCAATCTTCTTCAATTAGAAGATCCTCTAATTTAGCACCTCCACCTGCAGCATTTCAAATATGCAGGTTCAGGAACTCCCTATCAAAACGTACACGGGCAGCGATCCCGGCTGTCTTACTGGGGAAAGACTAAATGAAAATAGACTAAAAAGACTAAAATGAAAAGACAACTTGGAAGGCAGGCTGTCCCCCGTTCCTGGGGGGAAGGTCTCAGGATGCCTCTTACTGGGGAAAGACCAAATCTGACTAAAATGAAAAGACAACTTGGAAGGCAGTATGTACTGGGATGGTTGTGTCCTGATGTGCTGGGAACCTGCATGGAAGCTGGAAATGCTCCCCTGGAGCCCAGGGGAGACCCAGGGCAGCTACAGCCCCTGGGCACGGCTGGGACAGACCCGGGAACAGGACAGCAAACTGGAAACTGCACTTTATGGGTCAGGGCACACATAGATGGGACAAGAAAGCTTTGCTTTATTCAAATAGCTGATAAGATGTGCCGGCCCTGCCTATATTCTAAGATGCAACCATGTGATCAGCACAAAAAATTAATACAAGTCAATCTCTGCTCTCAAAGGGAGAAGTTCTGCATTACCTTGACAAGAGGCGTAAAAAAACGAAACTAAAATACTTTTATCTCCCTGTCTCCTCCATGACCAAACCCATGTTGGGTGCCACGATAATACTGGTTTGGGGTTGCATTTTAACCCTTGCAGTAAACAAATCCAGAGAAACACACTCACAAATACCCCTCCCTCTTTATCAGTAACACCCATCAGGAACAGTGGATGCCTTTGATCAGAGCTTAAGATATTGTTCTAACTTTACATAAAAGAAAAAAAAAAAGAGGAAGGAAAAGATCAGCCCTGGAAATGGGAGGGCAACCCTGGATAATGACCTGCCCCTGCTTTAATGAATCACAGGAAAAACCACAGGCTTTGCTTTTTTTTTTTCTTTTTTTTTTTGGAGGGACAGAGACTCTTCAGTTATCCCAAAGAATTTATAAAAATGACTCAACTGAACCTCACTACAAGTGTGTAGGGAATTTCTAAGTGACTCAAGCATTAAAAAGTCTGTAAATACAAATGGGGACATTCATCCTGCTGCCCTGACAGCTCCTCCTGAGCTGGGAGAATCCCTTCGGAGGGGTCTGAGCAGTGCTTTAACCCTGTGAGCAAACAGGGGGCACGGCTGAAAAGTTTACTTCTGGGCAACTCCTTTCCACTAAAAGCTCAAAGCTCTGGGATTAAGGTGACACCCACTCCCTCTACCCTCTGGTTCCTCACCACAGTGAGGGTCTAC